ATTTTTTGAAATTTACTACCCAACAAAAACAAAAAATTCCTTCCCAAAAAATTAAGTTTGAAAAACAGTGATTTTTCGCTAGCTGCTCATAGCTATCACTAACTTGCTGAGCTCTGCAGAGAGAAGAAATTGCTATCGCTATTAAAAAATGTGTTGAAAATTGTAGAACCTCAGATTTTCCAAAAAGAGGTTTTTTTTCCAAAAAGAGTTTTTTTTTCTAAAAAAAGAATTCAAATCAGCGAATGATTATCGCTTCTAAAACTCTCTAAACAACAAAAAAGGATAACGAAGCGTAGTACCAATGCCAACTAATTTCTTTCTTGCGCTAACTAACTAATAACTAACGAAGGGCAAAAAGTCCTTCCTTAATTAAATCAGGTGACTGCAAAATCTGCATCTTCAAATGTGCTATATTTAAAGGATCGACGATTATTAAATGGTGTTATTTAATTATTTAAATAAAGCGTATGTTTATACATTGTACAATTTACAATATAATATTTATTAATACACTACAAGGGTTCTTCTGACCAGTCATATTTAATATTTTTGTATATATATAAAAAGAAGGATAAAGATGTATGTATGAATTCACAAAAAATGTATATGTACAATTTCTAAATAATCCACTCTATTCAAATTTGCTAGTAAAAATACATATTATTTTTTGTTTTAAGGATTGATTTAAGTGTTATTGCTGTTTCTATTTATGATATTGTTTTAAAAATAAAAAAATGTTTTTTTGTTTTGACCCTTCAAGAAATTTTATCAAAAAATTTCTTTCACCAATTGTCCCCCCCTCGAAAAGTGCCCCAAAAATAAAAAAAAATTATCAATTATTTTATGTGTCATATAACGCAATTGGAGGTATAGCAAATAATATACCAAGTGTCAATACTGCAGCAAGTGCATCCCACATAATGAATGTTAGTGCTCTTTTTTTATGTGCACTTATCACTGGCTTCTCTTTAATTCTTTGAAACAAAAGAAAACTTTGTTCACTAAAAAATAATAAAAAAGGATTAATGTTATTAATTATAATAATAATTATATTAATAATTTCAATATTCTCAATGATAATTACCTTGTATTGAAAAGTACGAGTAAAGGTGAAAATCTAGTAGCAGCAGTCTGTAATAATATCCAACCTATTAATATAGCAGGAAAAGCCCATAATCTTGCCAATCTATTATCTATTCCGACAAAAATACTATAAAGCTCAAACGCAAATCCACTTGTCAAAGCAATTATTCCCAATGGTAAAGCTATTATGGCATGAAGTTGTGAAATGTTTATGTCAATAGCTGATTGAATAAATTTTGGAAAATATATCACATTCATTATATGATAAACGTATGATTTGGCAGATGAGAACACCACAGGATTGTATCTTCCTTGACGTTCAATGAGATCTTGCATTGTAGTTCTACTTTCTTCTGGTAAGATATTCATGTGACCATATTTCTTGTAAATACTTAAAGCTGATTTTGCCAAATCTTCTTCATTAATACGTTTAATAATTTCTAGTTTATGACCATTTTTTCTTGGTTTATCATAAAAATTGTCGCTGTTACTGCTACTGCTGTTATCACCATAATCATTATCTTCAATGACAGAAATCACATTATGACTTCTTTCTCCTTCATTTTTTTCATCATTACTTCTCCCGCTTCCCTTTATTCCATAAGTAGTAGAATTAAATTTTGAACTTGATGATATTACAGGATTCTTTGAATCTATCGATGATAAAGCTACAGTATCTTCTTCAGCACTGGAGGTAGAACCTCGTTTACGATTATTATTATGATAAATATTATTATGACTAGTTGACCCCCATTCTTCTTCATCTTGTTCATAATATTCATCATCTTCTTCCATTTCATCATCTTCTTCTTCTTCATAATCGTATTCATAATATTCATTTTCGTTTCCTTGTCCTTGATGATGTGGTCTTGATTTTTTTATTTTATTTTGATATTCACGCCATGATTCAAACAAGTTTTCATGAGTGACAACATCCAACCAAAAATTCAAATTTTCTTGACCTTGCCATTCTTGTCTCAAATAAGAATGAAAATTGTATTGTGATAAAGGTGTTCCAGATTTATTTATTAAAACTTTTTCTAATGGTGGAAAAAACGTCCCATCAAATATTATACTATTTTTACTAAATGTGTATCTACTACCACTATTTACCTTTGTCTCATTATTACTGCTGTTATTATTAGTAGTAGTAGTGGCATTACTGTTATGTACATTTCGTGTTGTCGAACCACCAGTTTTTTCAGATATTATAGAAGAAGAAAAGGAAGAAGAATTGCCGTTATATGCCATTCTAGGTGCCGTTATCGATGAAGAATTTACCTCCATTAATATCGAGAGAAAGTATCTTCTGTTTATTCTATTTATTTGTGTATAAATGAATTATATATTTATAATTGTATACGCATATAAACTATTTGCAATATATTATATATATATATATATATAGCTCTTTTAATTACAATCTTTATAATTTTGAGCCTGGAAAAAAAAAAATAATTAACAATTAAAGAAAGAATAATTATTTTTTTAAAATTCATGCAAGGAAAAATTTAAAATTAAAAAAAGTACAAGTACAACAAATTATAATATTCTTCGTACAACCAATAAGTATTTTTCAAGGTAACAATACAACAATTATTGGTGAATAGTTTAATTACGTCATACGTGGAAAATGTACGATTTGCAAATAAAATTTATATTGGTCAACCAACATAATAAATTACTACTATAGTTATTAACCACTGTATTTGTTATTGATAGAGCACCGCAATAGGTGAAATAAAAGTAATAGCATCATCACCTTGGAAATTGAAATAATAAACGAATTCATTGAAGTGGGGACAAACCTTCTTTATGAATTTTGATCATAAAAATCTTATTTGTGGATCAACGAACAAGTTATCAATAGTGTCTTGATTAATTCATCGTCTGAATAATTAAGGATTAATTTATTTCTTTCGCAGATCTTTTTTTTAATGGTTTTTTGTTGCTGTCAAAAGCTACCAATTAAAACCTTTATCATGTTTTAACTAATTTAATAACCATCAATTCAACTAATAATGGAATTATTCTGTATAGAAAGAATATATTATTGAATACATGATTGCTCATTCCCATGCTTTGATTTGGTAGTTACAACAGAACTTCTATAATAATAATAATAATAATAATAGTAAAGTAATAGAGGTGTTCAAATAAGGCATAGTACAAAAAGGAAATGTAATTTATTATTGGGCTGATCTACATAATAATTTAATTTATTTAATTTCTAAATTTATTGAAAACAAATTTGTAGGGTTTCTGTTTGTAATACAAATTCTTATTCGAATTGTTCGTAATACGATCAATATTAACATTATTATTATTATTATTATTATATTAATAATTAATAATAATATTATTAATTCGAATTAGTTATTCGAACAAAGAAATTTATTCCCATTAAAAATTTACTCGAATTAATATTAAAGTTTACCGAATTACAATTATTCGTTTATTCGGATTATTTATTGCTATTACTATTACTATTAATACTAATATTCAAATTATCCGTTTTCTGTTTTACGATAATTATGTTTATGAACTATATTTATTATTATTATCACTGTACAAGTACCAAGGAAAAATAGAAAAAAAAATTTTACTTGAATTATTAATTTTATTAAAACCATTCGTCAAATCATTAGTTTTATTCGAATACTCAAATTCACAACGAATAAAACTAATAAACTTTATTCGAATAGAAACCTTACCTTCGGGGCTATATAATAAAAATTAGTTTTTGATAGTGTAACAAGGAATAACCAAGACCTGTAAAGTACAGAAGTACAGGCTGCAAAATTTTTTTAAATTTACATATAATTTTGGCCCGATTTATCTTGCACGTGCTAAAATTTTCTAGTTTTGGTAAAATCATGTGTTACACGTGATTAAAAATTTCCAAATCTGCGTTCCTATATATATATATATAATATTGAAAAGACCTAATTATTATAAAGATTAAAGATACTTGCGAACTAGTTGGTGGTTACAAATCGGTTGGCTAAACTATTAAAATAAAACTTATAATATAAAAAAGATAAATAACAATCAACTTGGGTAATTCAGTAATTCTTATAATTAAGCAGGATAACGGATCCTCAATATTCAGTATATAACAGTATTAATAAGACTTATTGCTGATAATGTTTCATGATGCTAATTCAGTTGATCAAAATAATTTACAAATAGTAAGAAAGTTGATTTACAAGAATAGAAAGTATATAACTTTAAATTTATTATATTAAATTATGAACTAACTTTAAAGATGTTGAGTACACACTAAGGTTGCTTGCCGAAACCTTTTAGTAACTGCCAAAACTCTGTCAAAATTTTAATGAACAATTAGTATATACCTTGTCAAAACTCTGATGATTGACAAAACCCCCAAATGCGAAACTCTGCCAAAATTATAATAAATAATTAATGTGTAACTTTGTCAATTGATTTCTGGAGGAGTTTCGCCCACAATCTTAGAAATTTTAAAATTAATAAAATAAATAAAATATTTCATTAATTTCATTTATTAAAATTTCTATTTATTCTTGAGATTATTTCTATTTCCTTTATACCATACTTAAGATTTTTTTAATTTCTTTTAGATCATTTTCATTGTTTCCAAGCTTATTTTCTATTCATTTAAATCTGAGTTATTGTTTTCTGGTTCGGAGATGTCAACTGGTTTTCTATGATCATTAGAAACATATTGCTCTCATCTATTTCTCTAATTTTTTAATATCATCAACTGGTACTTTATAGCATTTAATAAACAATATATTTTTTTTAATTAATAAAAGAAACTCAATAAATGATTTAATTGAGTACTAATAATGTTTACAATATATCTGGGAACAATGATCTCCACAACATTTAAATAGGATAGTTCAATCTCAATTATGATCTTTGACTTTTAAGCAAAGAATACTTATTTTCTTCAATTGCATTACTTTATAAACTAATGAATAGATTTATTGGGTATACCACAACTACAAATGAAAAAACAACCGCTAATATTGCCAGGTAAGGTTTATCTTGTAATGATAAAGATCTAAATGCTCCATTATCAATATAAAAAATCAGAAGACTATTTTATTGAAGTTAAAAATAAACTTACCTGTATGTTGCCAACAATGGATATATTGTCAGTTAATTGTTCTATACTAGTTGTAGTTGCACTGGAAAAGCATAGTAAAAATTAATATATAAATTATCCCGAATCAAAATAAAATAGTCGAATCCAAATGTATTACACAGATTAATTGACCATTATTATGTTTATACATTTCCGATTTATCTAATTTAATAAATATTTTTTTTGTTGAATTATATATATATTTCTTCCCAAAATGAATAAGCGAGTAGTAATCCAGGATATGGGAATTAAAAGTAAAAGAGGAATCTATTATAGAGACATTATAAAAGTCATCATATTTTTTAATTGAATTCTTAAGTGGAAATAATATTTTGATATTAAATTGTGATGAATTTTTTTTTATAATCTTGGTAATTCTGAAATAACTATTTTTAATCTAAAGGAGTATCATTTTTAAAACGATTGAGACAAGAATCCATCACTTTTTCTATAATAACACTAATGTTTACATCTAATGCTAAATTTAAAATTCCCTTTCCAAATTCGCTAAAATTAAAGTTCTGAACTAGCTGAACCGAGTTTATGCTTAGCTCGAGCCCGAAAACTCGAAATTTTCTATAAAATCACGATTTTGTAGACTGAAAAATAATTGGAGCAATAATAATCGTATAACATGCTTGAATTTTAAGAACATTAATAATTTTAAAAAATTCCGAAAATTTCAAATGAGAACAATTCTGTGTTTTAATAAAAAAAATGTTTTTTAGGTTCTGGAATATATGCATATCGTCAAACGTGAATAAGAAAATTGCATTTAAAATCCGTTATAACAAAATCACGTGTTAGTGTACTAATCACGTTTCAATGAATTTTATGTTTTTAGTAACGCGAATTCAATTATAATTCGTTGAAACGACCAGCCAACTATAGATTGGTCTTGATTACTTACTATAAGATACCATCAATAAAAGCTCCATTATGTAGTCATTGATTTTCATTTATATTGTGATTGTTGAAGAATTATGATTAACTTCTTCCGGAATTGATATTTTATCCTTTCCTGAGTCTCACTAGTCATGTTATGACTATTTTTTTTCCGTAATTAATGTTTCGTCCTTTTCTAAGTTCTCGCTGCTAGTCAATATTTTAATACATTTGTGTGTATATGAAATTAATTATTTTTTTACACGAGGAAAAAATATTTTATATTTATACAATAATTTTCAATTGCTCGACACCATATTCGGATACAATGAGAATGGTTCATTATTTACTAGCTTTTAATAGAAAGGGACTAAATGACAAAAACAACAAAAGGGAATTGTCTCAAAATTTCATTAAGCAAAGCGGGTATGGTTTCTAAGTATAAAATGTTGAGTTGCACATAGTGATGCTGTTACTTTAAAAGTGAATTCAAATTAACAATTTTTACGAAAAACTTCTTTATATTTATTAAATGTATACACACTCATGCTGTAGAATCAAATTTCATACTTTCTTGGAAAGTTTTATAAGAAATAAAAAAATCATCTGGCTGCTCATTCACTTAGTATTAACCTTTTGTTTATAAATTCTTCAAGATTTCTTTCCAAGTTCTTGTTTAAAATCCAAACGTAGCTTTTATAAATTCACTATAAAAAGAATGTAACATATTTTTAAAGGTCCTTCGTAGCATCTATATAACTTTAGAATGCAAGGAAGAAAATAATAAAAAATTTTTTTAATTACAATGACGAGAGAGAAAAAAGTTTTTTTCTTAAATGGCAACAGTAAGGTAAGAATAATTCTACAAATCACATCAATTTGAGACAACCTGAGCATGTACATGTGATTACATGCACCCTTAAAATTCGGTTATAAATAAAAAAAGCGCCATTATAAAAATATTAAAATGGTAAACAACACTATTTTTTTTTTAATTCAGTTCCTGATATATATACAATTGGATAGAAATAATGAATGCATCACTCAACTTAAAAATGGTGCAGCGTGACAGTTGTTTTCCAGATTTGGTTAGGGCTGTGTTCCACATTTATTTGTTGTCACAAAAATAGCTAGTAAAAAAAATAAGGCAACACAATTTCCTCATTAAAAATAAGAAAAACAGCTGACGTTATAGAAAAATATATTATGCAATAGTTGTAATATGCAATTAGTAATTTTGATAATGTTGGTGCCATCAGAACGTTTGATCAGAATTGGTGGATTGTTAATTGTGTCATAATGAGTATTTAATAAAGACAGATATTAATAATATTAAGGAAGATTCAATAAAATCACTAATCCCATATAGAATAATTCATCAAATATTTTAATATATTTATTATACCTCTTTTAAAACTAACAGTGTAATGTGTAATATTTTGAAGAGTGTACATTCATTAGTCCATGCTGATATTGTGATTTTGCTTTTGATTATGCTAAAGTCCTATTGAGATTATAATCCGAGTGATTTGAATAAAAAAAGCAACTTTTATTATTGTTTTTATTTTTTCTTTAAATTTTAGATTTGGAGTAACAAATGCTTTAGCAAATTACAAAGTTAACAAACGAATGTGATAACTCTTCGATCATGAACAATTTCTCAATCGGTTTTTTTGGATTTTTCGCCCACGTACATAGCTTTGTATTAATGAACCCACTTCTGTATTACACTCACTGAATCTAGAATGACGGATTTAAAATTTTAAAATGCTAAAAAATAACAAAGAAATATCAAAATGACGATAGTGATTGAAAATAATATTTTTCTTGCACGGCTCTAGTTTCTCAAAAAAAAAAAAAAAAAAAATCATCAGAACAATCATTTTCGATTGCATACACATACAAGACATCATTTTGGAATAAAAGGTCAACTGTGAATGTACATAAGTACTTTGTAGAAAAGGCGAATTACAAGACATTTGTCTTCATCTTGGAATAAGAAATTTCAAGCATGAGTATCCGGGGCGTAAAGCATTTCATACTAAAAATAATACTTGTCTTGGGAAATTCACATGCTAAATTAGCCAATCAAAAGGAATTTCGCACTTTCAGATAACAAAAATTTTTTTTTACATAATTATGAAAATTTAAATTGTTGTTATAATCGTATATATTTTTTATATTATGCATTCATGCATAAAATTCGACTGCGCCATATATACAAATTTGTTAACAATCTGCTAATAATTTTCGCATTTGGTTAGACACATCTGTTGCATTTTGGATATGTAATTAATGTAAACAAATGTTTCACAATGAATAACTAAAGTTTTCGTTCATTCATTTATATTATTTGTTATAATCACCTAGCGCAACGCATCTGCGTCAAAAGAAATAACCTGCAATATTCTCACAAGTATACAGCATTGGTAAAATCAATTAATATCCCAAAATTATATCACGAGCATGCCAAGTTTTTTCTTTGCAACAATGGAAGAATAGACATTGATGTATGATAAGAATAGATAACAAAAAAATATGCATAGAAAACAAAATTGCAAAATAAGTAAGTTAATTAACTCAAAAAAAATCATTGAATCCTGATAAATTTAATGTTTCAAATGTAAACAAGATGAATGCAATTGCGTGAATGATTCGAACGACTTGAAGGCAACGTTTTGGACTGGAAAAAATGAAATAAAAGACAATATTGTACGTTCATATGAAACAGTTATATTATTGACAATATCAATTTTCTCGCGCTATTTAGCATTTCGTACTAATAAATAATCTTATTTCAGTTGAAACAGACTTCTGTATGAAAAATAAATCATCCAAATTTTGTAGTAATCAATTAATATCAACTCTTATTTCAAAAACTTACAAGAAATATTAGAGAGAGAAATGAAGCATTGAAAGTTTATAGATGTAATAATTAACAAACCAGTATGATGATGATATTTAACGTTCTCAAAATTGGCCTATAAATTGGCCTTTAGATCTAAAATTCTATTTATAAAAAAAAAAAAACCCCACGTATGATGTTTATAATAAATAATTTTAATAACTTTAATTATTGTTTTGTAATATTTATTTAAACCTTAGTTATATCAACAAATCTTGGCAAACAAAATTTGATAAATAGATAGCCCAAGTTTCTTATGAAACATTAAATAAAACGTCTCAAGTTCATCTTCATATTTTTCAGATCTATGAGATCTGAACTTGGTTTGGTTTGGCTAAACGAAAAGTTAGAGATATATGGATATCAGACAGATATGAATGATCAAGAATAACAAGAAATATAATAGTAGTATTAGCATTAATATTTCCGGTTTTAACCAAACCCTCCTTCAATTCAAAGAAAATCATTTATGCAAAAAACAAATGTTTCAGAATTTATTTTTATATTTATATATATATATTAGTATATTAATATTGATAATATGCGAGTTAAAATAGTGGAACATTATAATAACTATAAATAAGAAAATCATATTACAAATTTCTTTAAAAGGGAAATAAATATAAAAATTTATTTATGTAAAATTATATCTATTGTTTAGGAAATTTATAAATTCATTGATTTTTTTTTTCCATTTTTTGTTTTTTTTTTTTTTAAATTCATTCATATACTCATCTTTTATAAATAAAAATTTTCTTTCGCGTGACCCATAGTCTGAATTTTATTCTTTCTTTCCTTCACTACTTGTTAATTTATTTATCAAGGAAGCGAGAAAGGAAAATTAATCAATTAATCAGATAATCTATTTTTTGATTTATTCTTTATTCTTTCAATCCATTACTTCTGCTCGATCAATCGATCAATCAATCACACACAATTACTTGCTCCAATATAATATGAAATCGTTAAAACAACAACCTCCATCATATTGTTATTCTTCGATCCTTCTATATTATTTAATATGCATATCAAGTATTATCTCATTGGTATCAAGTCAATGTTACGACGTGACAAATCCATTCGATAATAAATTGGGGAGATTTTCATCATGTGCAACCGTAAAGGACGATAAAAATTCATTACTACTAGACAGCACCGACGTCAATAATACCAGTGCTGATGATAAGAGCAATATGATTAAAATTTTGTTTAATTGTGGAGACAACAATGATCCAAAACACTGCGAAAAGGCAAAGCTCGCTTTCGAAGAGGCAGCAACATTTATCACCAGCACCATAGACCTACAAGTTCCAATCACGTTGAACGCCTCATTTTTTAATATATGCGGTGTAATGGTTGTTTGTGAGCCAAATAAGCCCTGTATGTTTTTTTTTTTTTTTTGTTGAAAAATTAAAATAGAATTTTCTTTTAACGTTCTAATTCTATTCTTTAGTGCTGGGCGCTGCCGCTCCATCAAGGTACATTCCATTATTGGACGACGACGACGTGGTCAGATTGTATCCTCAAGCACTAGCAAAACAATTTAAATTCGATACACATCTCGAGTACATGCCAATTGATATCGTGACCGGATTCAATTCAGCCATTGACATATTTTGGTTCAAAGGCGATCCACCAATAAGAGATGATCAAGTAGATTTCGTATTAGTTGTGACTCATGAAATGTTACATGGATTAGGATTCTTATCAAGTTGGAATGATTATTATACACTTGATGTAGTAAAAGGTCTAACACCGTTCCCTAGTTTCTTGATGAAGGATTTTGAGGAAATCAAAGGCGAGGTGACATTTACCGGATTTCAAGAAAATTGTTTCGATAGACGTCTACAGTTAGCATCAAACAATGAACCATTATACAACACTGTATTAAAATTGAACACATTTGCTGGTGGTGTTGAAAACAAAACTAAATTTAGCAGCTATGACGATTTCGCTAATCAGTTTACGAATTCTTCAATTTTCCAAGAGTATGCGGTGGGTATCTTAAATACATCTACAACACCTGACACCATACTATTCAAGGCTCATGATGACGACGAAGATAAAATTTTTATTGAAACAACATTTTCACCGTTTAAACCTGGATCTAGTATGTCACATTTAGATAATATCACAAATAACCATACCGTTGACTTTGTAATGATGTGGAAAGCTGCCAGAGGTGTTACGGTGGCAAATATTACAGCCGCAAATGGTGGTAATACCACGTATACAAACTTGCTCGGGCCTAGAGCCATAAGAGTTTTGGAAACTTTAGGGTATCAAACTGCAACTTATCGCACACCTTATAGGCCAAAAGCAGCTGTAGTTTCTGATGATAATAACAATACTACTTCTTCTTAGTGACGCTGTCATCAATTCGAGTATATCAACATCAACGCTTAGTTCTTCTTGATATTATACCTCGTCAGCTTCTTATAAACAATTTTCAATTTACAATCTTTTTATTAATAACTTCTTATACTATTTAATTTTTAAATAATAATAATAATAATAATAATTTAATTTAATCTTATATATATATATATCTGTGTATATATCTGTACTAATAGTGTATCAATAATAAATAACAATTAATTTTAGTAGGGTTGAAAAGGGAAGAACTTTTTAATCTTTAATTTAAAAAATTGATATAAATGATTTCTCTTCTTCACATTCTTCCGATATCATGTAAAAAGAAATAATAAAATTTCATAACAAAATTCAATGATTATATCAAAGTTGAGAACTGTCTCAAAAATAAAAATATTTTATTTTATTTTACTTTTTTTTAACGTGCTAGATTATATGAAAATTGTAGCTTCATAACATATAGCAGTTAAAGTCATTGTAGCGTTCATGTATGTTGGCCCTAACAAATTCCAATCTTTAACACCACATCACCATGGGCAATGATCAAAATATCAAAATACATGGTAATGAAGATGGCGAAGAAGTCAATAATCAATGCTTTGTTGATAATGTTGATAATTAATTATCCTCATTGTGATTATTGGCAGTGATAGGAAAGCGTATGGGTTCATTATTAATTGTCTTTTTAGTATGATTTTTGTTTAATTATTTAACATTTCTTTCTACCATCAACACTAAAATATTGAAATATAACGCATTTGTATAGATCCATTAATTTAACAATATTAGTCATGATCTTACATTTCGTCTAATAATTTTATTAACATTAATCGCAAATTTATATTAAATCAATGTGGAAAATATTATCTATCCATACATCAAAGATCTCAAGAAAAGAGCCGAGAATAATCTCAATGACGGAAGCATTTACATGCGTTGGATTAATGAACATGTCATATATGGAATGTTTCCCGGTAAAGATTTAGAAAAGCGTGATGTTCTTTTATAGGATGATGCATAAAGTGGCATGTGGACTATGAATGGAATTTGCCTTCCCAAATAAATGGAGCCAATGGCAGTAGCTGTTTACATGCATTAAACACTATATGCAAATTCTGCTAAGGTTGTATCTCATTGTTATTTTATATGAAAATGGAAACCACTCTGATTGCGTCCATATTTATTAGTTAATTTCATTTGTAATACCAAGAAACTGGATCTCAACTTTTATTTACTATATTCGCTCTTTAATAAAGTGTGAATGACTTGGTATTATTTTTTTTATCTCACTATGGTTTTTACTTCACGAAAGTTAGACTTAATAGTAAACCATTGTAATATTATAATAACAGCAGATAGAGAGAGACATCCTAGACGGATGGTACAATTGCTTAAGGTTTTTATTTGATTAGAATTATTTTTTATCAATCTATGCCCAGATGACTTTTATTAGTATATTAATATAAGATTTTTCAGCTTTGGGAGATGTGGAGAAGCGTAGAAGAGGAGTTACGTGAGATAGATGTAAAATATCTTGGACATGACCCCCCATTCATTATGTTTGGGATAGTTTATTACCTTTTATAAAAACCCATAAAAGAATATAATAAATGAAGAATCATACGTGTGCGAGTTTATCAAACAATACATATTTTTGATTTCTTTGAAAAATTTTAAACTCAAAATGTCAACATTAAATGAAAGTCAATGTAGTACAGCACTAGCAAAAAATATCTTATGGAGAGTGCGCCAAAGATAATTGGTGCAGTTATTGAAATAATGCGAAACGTAACTTGGTAAACCGAACTGCTAAATTGCAAATTCGCGCTTTTCATTTAATTATTATGAAGCGCAGTTTTTGTTTTAAAAGTAAAAAATGCATATCATTTGTTTGGTTCTGAAGAATGTGTTACCATATATAAAATTTATTAATTAAAAATAGATTTTAATTTTAAAAATGTGGCTAGTTTTTTTAATTGTGACAGATATCCTTAACAAAATAACTCATTATTCTGATGATGTTAAAAGCCCCAACGAAATGAAAGGCCCAAATTTTAGACTTAAAAGAAAATCAACAAAATAAAAGTATTGAGATCTCTACTTAAACAATTCATAGGAACTTGATATTTATTTATGTCCATGAAACAAAGAAGCCGAAGTGTTAGGAAATAAAAGTCAATGGTGAATCCCAATTTACAAATTTTCAGCCAAATTCATGTTTGGTGAAGAAATGGATGACATTATGATATTGAAAATCTTATCCTATTGGTAAAACATTATGGTTGGGGATGATAGTTTAGAAATGTTTTTCTGGTAAATGGGCTTGCCCTTTAGTTAGTGTAGGTGGAAGATGAATTATTAGAATTTTTGGAGAATAAATATTGCCTTTACCTGACTTCAAAACACGAGTAACATCCAAAAAAATGCTTCGGGAATTGGAGGCTGCTCTAAAAGAGAAATTCCATTAGAAAAACAAAAATAATAAAATTTAATATCTAATTGGATACCCATTATTAGAAATATGCTTCTGCTCTTTCTTTGAGTTTATATCTTCGGATAAATAAAGGCTATGTTATAAAATACTCTTCAAAACCTAAGCAACGTAACAATATAAAATTTTACATGGGTTTTTTTATGAATATGTGATCAAATACTTTTGTCCAGGTATGTAAATACAAAAAGTTATCATTATTGAGAAAAGTATAGGAGTCTTTTAAAATATAATAATCTTTAATTAAAAAAATTATCCATATATCCATATTAGATTACATATAAATTTATTGCTAAGAAATAATTTATTTTTGTAATTTTGTTTATTATTTATCAATTATTTGAAATACTTCTAATTCGTCATATTTACTACCATGTGCTATATTAATGTTATTATATGAGCCACTATTACTGTAAATGGTGCTGTTTGGATAAAAAATAAGATCATTATTACCACCAAAAATAGCTAAATATGAAGGATGACAGCGAATTGCATATTGATAATCATTAGTAACATAACTAAACTGTCCAGAATTAATGTCATTTCTATTACCAATGTTAAAAATAAAACTTTCAGTTGTATTTTTATATATATAATTTCCATTATTTAAATTCCAATCAAGTGGATTATAACCTCCTACTAATTGATCTGAATTTTGTATTTTGCCAACTATAAGAGTTTTATTGATATTATCACATTTTTGATGAAATGCAGCTGTATTTAAACCATCTCTGCTACTACGATATATAAGTTTGAATTGATATTTAACATCTCTGAATGAACTATATTGTGGACTTTTTCTATCAATCCAACTTGAAAAAAGTAAAGTAAGATTTTGATTGATTGTCAATGATTCAAGTGTTGAATTAATTCTTGGTGGCAATAAATTTAATGCTAGTTGTCTATCCGGAAAGATATAATATTGTAAAATGTCATTCCATAAAACTTTAGGAAAAAGCATTTGGTATGGTACAATTTTATTAAA